TCTACAAATATGTGTGATAGTTTTTGATGCGAGGTACTTCTCTTGCAGTTGCGCAAGAAAAAGGCAGATTCAACTCTTACAACGAAAAAGAGAAAAAGGGATGAAGATGTCACCAATCTACACGAAGAAGATGACGACAACCACCGCAAACAAATTGAGAAAGAGTATAACCAGATTATAAGCAAGTATAAGAAGAAACGAGTCGCAGCATCTTAGTTAATTTATTTCGGAAACTGTATATAATTAAAAAAAACTTATATTCTCCTATAATTTTTTTATAAACATTTTTACTATCTTTTATGTAAATAGTTTACATTCGTATTTTAGTAATTTTTTTATTTAATGTGATTATTTACATTCGTAATTTATTTCATTTTTTAATGTTAATACTTACATTTGTATTTTTCCTTTTTTTATTTAATGTAAATATTTTCATTTCTATAATTTCCAATTCTAGTTTTTTTTAGGAAACAATTTTGATGTAAGTAATTGTATTCACATTTTTTACATTTTTTTAATGTATATATTCGCGGTTGTAGTTTTTTAAATTTTTTTTATTTAATGTTTATTTTATGTTTTAACTTTTTTCATTATTTGTCTGATGTAAATAATGTCATTTTACAGTTATTCTGAGTATCAATAAAGTTCTTAAAACGTGTTAACTTGAGTTTTCGTTTTTTTGATTCTTTACAGAGCTACACTGGCCCTCTTGAAATAAATAAACAAATAAATTAGTTAATAAATAAATACATTTATTAATTACTTAAAATGTCATTTTTTGACATCCAAATGTTGACGAGTCTTTCTTAGTTTATTTAGTAGCGATCACACCATTTCATAAGATCAGATGGGCATTAATTAGTTTTCATTACTATTAGTGAAACAAAGTTTTCGGAATTAATTTTATTAATTCCATTTATTCACAAAAAAAGTGAAAGAGTCAGCCTAGCAATAAATGCTTATCTAGGGTTGACTCCCATAAAACAAGAAATAACATAGTAAGTAATAAATGTCTTTTAAATTCTTCAAAGTTCTTAAATTTTCATGAATAAACTTAGAAATAAAACATCAATACATTTAAACTTAAAAAATGAATAAAATTAAAAATAAAATATTAATACATTTAACTTAAACAATTTAAAAATGTTCTCAACTTCTTTTTAAATTCTGTTAGATTATTAATTGATTTTAAATATTGTGGCAGATTATTCCATTTATAAGGTGCATAATAACAAAAGTTCCTGGATGTTATTTTATTTAAATTCATTAATGGCTTAATTATATTAATATTGTTAGTTTTGTCAATCTTGGGGTTAGCTATAAATTTAATCGTATTAATTAACATTATATCAGTTGTAGATGTTATATTGTTGATAATTTTAAATGTTAATAAAGATGATTTATAGGAATTTATTTCAAATATTGATAAAATATTATTATTATTAAATATATTGTAATTGGAATGATTATAATCGATTTTAAATCGATTTTAATAAAATATTTGTAATAGTTTTCAATCTTCGTTGTGATTTCAAAAAATTTTCTTCCCAAACTAATTAATCTACCAACAATGTCAGCATTTCGTAATAAAATAACGAAGAATAAAAATTGATAATTCAACAATTAATGGGACGAAATGAATTATATGAACTTATTAGCATCGCACGGGACATTGGCATGTATCCGACATAAGTAGGTCGACACCTCATCATCAACAGCAGCCTCATCTTTCTCCGTATGAACTCGCACAACTCCGAAGGAATTTATTTCTTAATTGGTGAAATCAAAAAATTCAAAAAGTTAAAATTCTATTTTCCCTGTATAGGCCATCTTACTTCGTTATTTGTTTTCCGTTAACATTTATAATTCTGTTCTGAGGTATTATATAATTTATTTTTCGTTAGCATCAAATTGAATGGGAGAAAAACTGAACCAAAAAAGTTGAGCGATTAAATATTAGACCGGAAGGTTTTGTTTTCGAAAAATTAAAACTGAAAACTAACACAGACACACGCACACAAACAGACGCGCGCGCACACACAAACAAACAGACGTGCACAAACCACTGAAACTCCACCAAACACCGAGCAATGCAACAAAACTACAACTAATTTAATTTATTTTTGAATAAAATCACCCAAAAAAGAGTTGAAATATTATCACACATTATTAATATTAAAAAATAACAAAGCAACAACATTATGTCTTCAAGTACATTTTTTTTATAAGCAAGTCTCACAGGTCTCCGCAACGTCTCACAGGTTTCAGCAACATCTCACGAGTCTCAGCAACGTTTCACGAGTCTCAGCAAAGTCTCACAGGTCTCAGCAACGTTTCACGGGTCTCAGCAACGTCTCACTGGTCTTAGCAACGTCTCACTGGTCTTAGCAACGTATCACTGGTCTCAGCAACAATTGCACAAGCGGTTGCAGCAACGACAGCAGTGTTAATATTATTATTCTGATTATCATTTAATTATTTATTTATATATTTATTAAAACTTATTAATTTTTTTAATTGAATTTATGAGAACTATTTGGCTTTTGGAATAACACACACACACACACACACACACACACACACACACACACACACACACACACACACACACACACACACACACACACACAACACACAAACACACACACAAACACACAGTTTGCCCACCTCTGATCTATTAAATTAATGGCCAGGTCATCCGACCGAATGTTTTCGCAAAGTAATGTAACATCGTTTTTAGAATTGCTTCTGGACCTACTTTTTTTTTTTTTTTTTATTCGTTTATTTTTCAAACATTAAAAATAATTTTGAAAAAAAGGGTCCAGCATAACCACGAGTGTTTTTTTCAGCCAACCCCAAAAACATTCAATTTCATACTCTAATGGAAATGGAGGAAATTTACATTTGGCGTGCCTGTCAAACACTTTTTTTCTTTCTTTTTTTTAGTCTTTATTATTGCAGCTCTGACATACGCAGAACCACTTACAATGTTACAGATATATTATCTATATATCTTTATTATGTTCTTCAAACCCTCATCTATTGATTTGAAGCAGCCATCTTCGCCACAAAGGCTGTTTATCCTTTTCACACGATGTACACATGTATTGATGTGCACGCGCAAGCACCGCATCATATACACTGAGTATATGATAGCCATTGAGATGTTAGACTCTGCCCGCATTTGAACCACTTGAGCCATCTCGCCGGCCAACATGCGACAACTTACGTCGTCTACCCATTTACCAGCCTCGAAAGGATGGACGGCTGGGTTGGCCGGGGGTCAGCTACCCGGATAAACCTGTAGAAACTGCAGGATTTGAGCCCGGGTCGTGGGAGTGGTAGACGGACACGCTAACCACTCGGTCACGAGACCCACAATGTATGGTTTTCAAACACCAATCATTCTAAATTACAAAAAGTGTCAAGTAGACAGGATGGTAATCAATTAACTTTGCTAGTTGCGCAATGAAACTTGAAATGATGAGGTGTTAACTAATGAACATTTTATTGAACTTTTGACTTTTTGAAAAAGCGATCAATAAGGAACTTCATAAATTAGTCTGAAGATTCAACAAAAATTTTAACAATACTCGTTGCAAAGTAATTAAACCAGCATAATACATCAAAAGCAAAAATTTAACCACAATCAAGAACTAAAAACTTTTGTTAAATTACTTGAAAAATCCATCCTTCAAAGTTGCTTCAAATATACACACACATGTTTACTTAGAATGGGACACTTATCCAATAAAAAAATTTAACCCGCGCCTTGTCAATTAAAGTTGACACGTTACTTTTACTTAATTAACATTATATTAGTTGTAGATGTTATATTGTTGATAATTTTAAATGTTAATAAAGATGATTTATAGGAATTTATTTCAAAAATTGATAAAATATTATTATTATTATTAAATATATTGTAATTGGAGTGATTATAATCGATTTTGAATCGATTTTAATATAGCTAAAGATAAAATATATTACCTAAAATTGGAAGAATGGGTAAAACAAGACTCAAGAAACGTATCAATTGAGAAAAAGGCAGATTCAACTCTTACAACGAAAAAGAGAAAAAGGGATGAAGATGTCAACAATCTACATGAGGAAGAAGATGACGACAACGGCCGCAAACAAATGGAGGAAGAGTATGACCAGATTATAAGTATAAGAAGAAACGAGTCGCAGCATCTTAGTTAATTTATTTCGGAAACTGCATATAATTAAAAAAAAACTTATATTCCCCTATAAATTATAAATTTTTTATAAACATTTTTACTATCTTTTATATAAATAGTTTACATTCGTTTTTTTGTAATTTTTTTATTTAATGTGAATATTTACATTCGTATTTTATTTCATTTTTTAATGTTAATACTTACATTTGTAATTTTTCTTTTTTTATTTAATGTAAATATTTTCATTTCTCTAATTTCCAATTCTAGTTTTTTTAGGAAACAATTTTGATGTAAGAAATTGTATTCACATTTTTTCCATTTTTTTAAATGTATATATTCGCGGTTGTAGTTTTTTAGATTTTTTTCTTTAATGAAAATATTTAAATTCGTATGTTTTAATTTTTTTCATTATTTGTCTGATGTAAATAATGTCATTTTTACAGTTAATCTGAGTATCAATAAAGTTCTTAAAACGTGTTAACTTGAGTTTTCGTTTTTTTGATTCTTTACAGAGCTACACTGGCCCTCTTGAAATAAATAAACAAATAAATTAATATATAAATAAAATCTTTTATTAGTTACTTAAAATGTCATTTTTTGACATCCAAATGTTGACGATTCTTAGTTTATTTAATAGAAATCACACCATTTCATAAGATCAGTTGGGCAGTAATTAGTTTTTATTACTATTATTGAAACAAAGCTTTTGGAGTTAAAATATTTGTAATAGTTTTCAATCTTCATAAGGGTTTCAAAAAATTTTCTTCTCAAACTGATTAATCTTCCAACAATGTCAGCATTTCGTAATAGAAAAACGAAGAATAAAAATTGATAATTCAACAATTAATGGGACGAAATGAATTATATGAACTTATTAGCATCGCACGGGACATTGGCATGTATCCGACATAAGTAGGTCGACACCTCATCATCAACAGCAGCCTCATCTTTCTCCGTATGAACTCGCACAACTCCGAAGGAATTTATTTCTTAATTGGTGAAATCAATAAATTCAAAAGTTAAAATTAGCCATATAACTTTATTTATTTTCCATTAATATTTATAATTCCGTTTTGAGTTATTATATAATTTTTTTTCGTTAGCATTTAAATGGATGGGAGAAAAACTGAACCAAAAAAGTTGAGCGATTAGATATTAGACCAGATGCACAACAAACAGACCGACACGTTGGACTTGAGGTGAAGATTCGTACGTGAGACACTTAATTGCC